GTTGGAAATACCTTTTTCTTCGTCGGTCTGATCGGTTAGCGTGTTTTGGCTTTTTGCCTCACGCGTGCGCACTAGATCCCATGGGTGTGAATGCACAGATGACCACTCGAAGGTCATCAGTTACAGGTAAGCAACCTGTTTATCCCAGGCGTGAGAGCTTTTGTACTACCCTGTAGAATTGATGCATTCTTACACGAGGATTGTCTTATGATTTGAAGGAATTTGCTCATGGTGTGGTAGCGCTCGTTGACCATAATACACAGAAAATATTTTCTTTGCAAGTCTAGTTGACTGCTTGATTTTGTGGGTCGGACTCTCACGACTGTTTTCTTAACATAGCGTTTCCTACTCAAACAGGCAGTGGCTCTCCGGGGTCTCAGGTCTTTCCCATCACCAGTCGCCTGTTCCTTGTAACTGGAGATGCCGGAGATCGAACCTGGGACCTTCTGCAGGCCAAGCAGAGGCTCTTCCACTGAGCCACGGCCCCTCCCCGTCCTGTGTCAACTCGACCCAGGCTCTTGTACTGTTACCGCCTCCTCAGCCCTGCATGCTGAGACAGGGATGGCTTTTCCATTCCTAATCCCCTGTTCTTCTGGAATGGAATGCTCTCTTTTAATAGACGGTATTTGTCTTTATGGAAAAGGGCTGACTTGCATAGAAATGTATTGCTGTTTGACTCTGTGGGGCATTAGTGGGCTTCTCTGTGTGTGTGTAGGAGCTGCGGTGGCTCAAGTGGTTAAGACGCTGAACTGCAGGCTGTGGAGGGTCGGTAGTTCAGCAGTTCGAGACCGGAGTGTGCCGCATGACGGAGCGACAGAGTGAGCTCCTGTCTCTAGTTCCAGCTCCTGCCAACCTAGCAGTTTGAAAGCAAGAAATTGCAAGTAGATAAATAGGGACCACTTCGGTGGGAAGGTGACAGTGTTCTGTGCACCTTGGTGTTTAGTCATGCCGGCCACATGACCACGGAAAACGTCTTCGGACAGCGCTGGCTCTTCGGCTTGGAAACGGAGATGAGCACCGCAACCCTAGATTCGGATTCGACTGGCTTTCGAGCAAGGGAACCTTTACCTTTACCTCTGTGTGTGTGTTTTATAAGGTCTGCCCCTTAGAAGCAGGGAACAAAAGAACGTTTAGTCACAGGCCGCAGTTCTGAACATTCAAGTGCCTGCAGTCATACTTCACGGCTGTCTGCGAAGCCTGAGAAGAGGATTTGCTAAATGAAGCCCGATGGGAAAAACATCTGGATCTTAAGTTATTAATAAGAACATCAGAGGAGCCCTGCTGTGCCAGACCAACAGTCCATCCCGTCCAGGATCCTGTCTCACACAGCAACCAACCAGTTCTTCTGGATAGTCAACAACAGGCCATGGAGGTCGAGGCCTCCTCCTGGAGAGCCAGTTGGGTGTTGTGGTGAAGTGCGCGGCCTCTAATCTGGGAGATCCGGGTTTGATTCCCCCACTCCTCCACTTGCAGCTAGCTAGATGACCTTGGGCAAGCCGTAGTTCTGGCACAGCTGTTCTTGAAAAAAGAGCCGTTTCTGTCAGAGCTCTCTCAGCCCCACTTACCTCACAGGGTGTCTGTTGTGGGGAGGGGAAGGGAAAGGAGTTTGTAAGCCGCTCTGAGACTCCTCTGGGTAGTGAAGGGCGGGGTATATATCCAATCTCCTCCTCCTCCTCTTCTTCTTAGTGCGCGGACTCTAATCCCGGGAGAACCGGGTTTGATTCCCCACTCCTCCACTTGCACCTGCTGGATGACCTTGGCCAAGCCGTAGTTCTGATAAGAGCTGTCCTTGAAAAAGAGCCGTTTCTGTCAGAGCTCTCTCAGCCCCACTTACCTCACAGGGTGTCTGTTGTGGGGAGGGGAAGGGAAAGGAGTTTGTAAGCCGCTCTGAGACTCCTTTGGGTAGTGAAGGGCGGGGTATAAATCCGATCTCTTCTTCTTCTAGATGGGCCGTTGGCCTGATTCAGCATTGGCTTCTCTCTTACGTTCTTATGTTCTAATGGCTGTGCAAAAAACGTGTTGAAGGCTTGCAGGGGGCGCGGGTGGGGGCCGGAGTTTGTAAGACAAGATCTCGGAGACCGTCAGTCTGATACCAGCCTGGGGTTTTGCAGTGAAGCTCAGCGGGTGAGAGGACATCCAGGGGCTTCCGATGTCTGAGTGGTGCACTTAAGGGGGGGGGAGAGGGATGCCCCGCGCCACTGAGTAATGAGCAGGCGTGATCCCCTGAAGCTCAGCGAGTCTCCCTGAGCTTAACCCCTTCCTCCTGCCGGCCTGGAATGTAAATGGAAGAGAAGTACTTGAAGTGGATTAGTTCGAGGGGCGGCCTGGTTTGCGAACGTCTCGGAGGGAGCCTTCCTACCCAGAAGCGCTTCCCCAGCTGTAAGGAGGGGAGCCAAGCCAGCATCGTCTCTCCAGTCCGGGTCGCGCGGTGCGTGAAACTTGGCCAGTTAGCACAGCGATGACGTACGGGAGCGCCTTGGCTTCAAAACCCAGGCTTTTGTCTCTCCCTTGCATCCCCTTCCTATGTGTACCGGCTTCCCACAGAGACTTCTTAATAGACTCCAGTTGCTGTGTGGACATGCTGAACGGAGCCTGCACATGGTGCGGAGCAGCTAGATGACGGTTGCTGCCGATTGTGTCCCACCGTAGTTGCCTGCAGAGTAACGCTCAGTCCATCTCTCCTCCCCTCTGGCCTGCTCATTTGCCCACTGAGAGTCCCCGCCTTAAGAACATAAGAGAAACCAGTGTTGGATCAGGCCAATGGCCCGTCCAGTCCAGCACCCTGTCACACAGTGGCCAAAAATACCAGGTGCCATCAGGAGGTC